TGCACCACCCACTGCCTCACTATGCTTATGAATGTCAGTGGGTGCCATTTTTTCACTTGCAGGAATTCAGTTTCACCCCTTTGCTTCACGTGCACTTCCATGTCAGATACCATTCTGTCAGACTGCCCTCTTCTGCCATCTGTCACATGGCAACAACACCTAATGGAATATTGGTGGGAAGGTTCAGCCTCTACTGCCATTCCACCAACATCTACCTCTGACACTGTGGGCCAACATCATTAAATGAGTGGCATTACTTTCAGAGCAGCCATTGTACTTTTCTCACTCTTCCTAAACAAGTAGAGAAGGCAGGTTTCTTTCAGAGCTTGAGCTGGTTCTGGTTGTTAGTCTCAGTTACCTTTTATTATTTTTTTTCCTTCTTTTTACAATTTTTATGCTTATCTAACCGTAGTGGTTGGCAGCTGTGTCTCATGTTTTGTGCCCAGTGCTTTACAAACACAGAGATAAGACAATCCAGGTTTCAAAGAGCTTTTTATTTACATTGTCAGGAGAGAAAAAAAAAAGTAAGAAAGGTAAATAGATGGAAAATGAACCAGCCAGAGGCTGAGAGCAGTGTCTTATCAGTTATTGGATTGGTAGTGGAATGTGTTGGGGAAGTAATCACAGAGGAGGATTTTGAGGAGGGTATAGAGTTAGGCACATGTAGAAGTACTGCAGGGAAACTCTTTCAGATGGAAGGCAATGTACAGAAGATGCAGCATTTGTGAATTTCATAGTGGCTGTTCGAATGGGAATCAATTGTGGCAAAGCTTTTAGTTTATTATTTTCCCAGGCTGATTTTATTAATATTTGAAACAGAGGAAATGCTACCTAAAAACCCACTCAACATGTTTTGGAAAGTTGATATTGTTGTCTTCTCTGCATTTTACCATATTGTTACTGCTACTTCAACTTACAGCATTCCTAGCAGATCTTGGGATTGTTCTGACTGTGGGATTTCTCTTTTTGGAGACTGGCATGATATATTCTCATTTCTCATATGGTGATGGCTGTTTATGTGAAAAGCTGATAATTTTTGTTTTCCTTACTTAAAGAATTTTGTCCTAGGTGATCATCATGGGAGTTTCCATCTGTTCTGGTATTCCCTATGGTTGTATCACTTTTTTCTAGAAACATCAGAGAATAATTATGAAGCATATTTTCCATAAGTCTTCCCCTCCCCCCAAAAAAAAACCACCTTCAAATTTAAGAGCATGAGTGGTGGTGATGTTGATATGAAGTACCATGATTTTATGTGTTTCTGAAATCTTGTGTAGCTGAAGTCTCTCAGGGATCAAGAGATCCAAGGAATTGCAGAGACTGTAGCACTAAGCAGTATCAGAAAACTGCAGATGTAAAGAAAATATTATTTGCAGCAAAAGTTTACTTGACTAAGTCCAGTGGGTGTTTTTGTTCACAGTACAAATTCTGGCTGGTATCTCTCTCTTCCTGTAGCAGTTGTTTCAGATTGGAACTTTTCCCACAAGACCTATTTCTAGAATTAGATTCAGATTTAGAAGTACTGTGCAGTTGTTACCGTCATAAAAACAATCTGCTATAGCTTGATTATGGGACCAAACTGAAAATGAAGGAAATGAGAAAATGTCAGTGTAATTTCTTAACAAAAATTATCTAACTTGTTATGAAGTCTGATCTTGATATTGTTGGTGTATTAAGCAAAAACTCTGACTTTCATTGGGAAGGATACAACTTTCACTGTAAAATAAAGGATGTTCCCTGCAATGGCATGTCCTTGAGATGTACACCCATAGGGCATATCCTTTTTTAGAGTTGTACTAAATGGCTGGTATTTCACCATATTGTGAATTTTCAGATATGGATCAGTATAACTATTGTGACACCCAGGGAATTTTCCTAGTGACTTTTCTTTAAAAAACTCCTAAGACAGAGTTGTTGCCTGTTCAGCAACACATTGTTCACATGCTGGAAGTGTTGGAGGAAGCACTGAGCTTCTAAACTCGATAGCAAGTAAAAGTTCTGTGAATAGAGATAGAACTGGTCTACTAATGGGCAAGGAAGGGTCACATCTTGGCTTCACTGAGCATGCAGTATCTGGATAGCTAATTAGATTAATAACTGATTAATCTATACCTGGTGACTCCACCTTGAAGATGAAAATCAATCAGTGTATTGCTGTACCCCTGTGCAACTGGAGAGAAAGGGAAGTCTTCTGGAAAAAAACAGAGCATTGCTCTGGTGCTGAAGTGTCCAGACTATTTTCCTATGATCGATCTGCACAGCCATGAAATGAAAAGAATTAGAAGGAGTGACTTACAGACGAAGTTTTACTGACCATGCTGTGGTTGTTGGCCACAGCTGGCCACTGTTGAGGTCTTTGGTTCACAACCCAGCTATCCAGATGGGATTTGACCAGCAACTGTCAGGTGACAGAAATAGGCCTTGTATAGTTGACATAGAGATAAAAACGATAGGATGAGGAAGCTTAGTGTGTTGCCATTTGAGCTAAGGGATGAAGGTGAAGAAAATTCACTGGTTTCATGTTATCACTTTGATAAACCTGCCCTTATTAAGGACTTGGTTAAGTTTTTTGTGCATTAGGAGGTAGGTCTTAAAATAGACACACCTCAGATTCTACTTTAAATAATATATTGTTCGTTTATTATGATTAGGGATGAGGGGAGACTGGAGGTCTGTTCAGAGTTTATACACTGTGAATTAAAAAGAAACTAGTTTTGTTATCAAGTGTACAAGTCTGTAGGTCTTTTGATCAGAAAAGGACTTACAAAGTTCTGCCACTTAAACTCCTTATACTAAATTAAAATCCAGAAACAAAACCTTTGTTTAGTGCAAGTTATTTTTTTCTGTCCACCAATGATACTCTGAATGACAAAATCAGGAGTTAAACATCTACAGGAAGGATGTGACTTGTTACTGTTTATTACCTTGACAGCAGCCTTGAAGTGGGACTTCAGTATTAGTGAATTCATCAGTGAATTTTGAAATCCTTACTGGGGAAAAATTGGTGGTGGATGGTTGGTTGGACTGTATAATCTTGGAGGCCTTTTCCATGCTTGGTGATTCTGTGATTCTAATAATGAGCATGTATGAGTTTTTATTGCATATCTAAATGTTTACTTCACAACTGAGTCCTACAATTGGCTGCCATCCACCTGGTCATAGGAGCACTCCTTCTTGCTGTCAGTCACAGTCTGAAGTGTATTCATGGTAGCTCCAACTATTGCAGCTGCCTTCCAGGGTGGGATGAGCAAAGATACTGCTCATAGCTCCAGTTACTATAGCAGGTTTTTAAGGTAGAGTACTTCAATTACTTTCGGTCATGGAGGTATGCCCTGATGAATTGAGTTACTATCCATCAGTTTATTGAGGACCAGATATGTGCCTTAATATTTTTGTCTGCAGTGACTCAATACCATGGACTGCACTTGTAATTACTACTTTTATTAACCACAAGCTTTTAGGTTCAAATCTCTTCAGAGCTTTAGTTATGGGTTATGATACTGTTGGGCTTGGTACTATATAGCTACTCAACTGTGACTCCCACCCAAATAGCTCGTTATCTAGATTTAAGGCAAGAAATAGCAAGTAGGCAATGGAGAGCATGGAAAGACTGTGAGGCGATACTGATAAGCATAGTGAGCAGTAGTGTCAGTGCTTTCCCAAGTGCGTCTGTAGGCAGTGATTTGAAGAAGAATAGTGAGTGGTCTGTAGGGACCTTTGCAGAAACCTCTTCCCATATACTGCTGCAAACACACGTGTGCTCTTTTGAAAATCTAGTAGTGCTGATATAAAATTTTTGTCTGTGTTGGGGATTATTTTTTTGTACTGAATGAGAGCTAACAAAGAAAGGCTTTGAGAGTTAGTACAAGTTGGATGTGCTTGATGCAGGTTTCAAGAACTGGAAGGAAATACAGATAAAATGATGAGCTCTTGTAAGTTTTGGTTGCAGGTATCTAAAAGACCTTTCAAGTGGATGGACATGAACTAGTTCAGTATGTTTTTGACAGAGGAAAAGTTACTCAACTGAGATATGAGATCAAGAATAGTCATTTCTGTGCAAAACTTACACTTTGCCAGAAGTGGAAAACTAATGAAGTCTGTAGGCAAGAACTTGGAGAAAAAGTTAGTTTGAAGTAGTCACAGGCTAGGGAAACAAGCTAAATGGATGTGGCATCCATCATTAGGGTCACAGGTATTCCACAGAACCTGATGGAAAAATCAGGAGTGCTGCCATGGAGATGTTATTTTGTGATAGTATCTAAGCATAATTAGATCTGGAGGAAGCAGTGAGCTTTTACTATAGCCAGAAACAGATACAGAAAAGAGGAAGTATGTCCAAAGCAGTTTTATAGCGTAACAAATCCCTATTATCATATCAAAATCTCATCTCTGACAGATTGCTCCTGCTGAGAAGCAACTAACTTTTGTGACTAATCCCACTGAACTCAAGTCAAGAGGGACAAATAGTCTTCAGAAATGCAAGTCAGTTTAAAATGTAACTTGTTTGTATATGTGAGGGATCATACCAGGAGGATTCAGTATGATGTGCAGCAGTGTGCTGTATCTTGTGTTGTCTCAGTGACACAGCTCCAGGTGGTTCTACACATGCAGAGTGAAAATTTTGACTGATTTATCAGTTCTAGTGAAATCTTATCTCCTGTCACTTTTGTTTATGCATTTAAACAGATGTAGTCTCTGATATAGTAGCTCACATCACCTTCTTATCTATGTAGTCCTCTGTAACTCAGTGGTGCTCCCCAAGGATTAAGGTGCTGTTCACTGCAAGTCAAGGCATTGGCAACTCACTCTTTGTTGTGACATTTCAAGATTAAATGTGATGTCAGTTGATGTTTCCAGAAGACCGGGAGTAATTGTAAATATGATACAATGTTGTTACAAACGATAATACTAATGTAAACAATATGAAGAATGTGTCTGCTCACTGGGTTTTGTTGTTGTTGTGTTTTTTTTTTTTCTCTTCTCAACATTCATTTCTTAAGAAAATTGGCTAAAAAGCGAAAAGAGACATTGAGCAGTACACGGCAGGAAATGACAGTGATGGTGAATTCAATGGATAAAAGCTACACTGAGCAAGGCACCAACTGTGATGAAGCTTTCTCTTTCATGGACACACACAATCTAAATGGGAGATGTAAGTCTTTTCTTTCTTTCTTTCTTTCTTTCTTTTTTTTTTTTTTTTTCCTTTTTCTTCCACCTTAAAAAAAAGAAAAAAATAGTGCAAATGGTTTTTAAAATATTCCTCATTACTCAGTCATGGAAAATCTATGGAACACAGAGTCTCCCCCACTGTGCAGCACATTACAGGTTGTATTTCAATGAGTAAGACGGCCAGACATCAAGAAAAGAATTCTTTAAAAATAATAAGGATAATTGAGCTTCTTTCTGTCCACTTTTTCTTCTGCAGAAGAGCAAATACAATACAGAAACAGCTGCAGTTTTTCCTTTCTCCGATCTCCATTATGTTAAAAATTTTATCTTCCTCATCCTGTCCCAAGTCCTTCAAATGCTTCCCTTGCTCTTTTTTTTTTTTTTTTTTGTAGGCAAAACTTATTTTTGAATGTCATAATGTAATAATGGTGATCCAATTGTCATATTATTTCCAATTCTAGAGGATTCTCTTTCTGTTGCTTGTGCAAAGAAAAAATTTAGCTGAATTATGAGCACTGCAGTTTCATAAGAGATTATCTAAAATCTTGAGTATTCATGGATCTATCTTCAAATTAAATAAAATTCAGGACATATGTTTTCCTAATCAGAGTTTAGTCAAAGACTTGCCTTTGCCTGGGGGTTACCAATCACCAAAGACCAGGATTGCAGTAGTTTTTCATATAACTGTTAAAAAGAATGGGAAAAAAAAGTTCATAAAACATTATAGTTTTTTGTAGCTCTGAAGGAATCTCAGTTTTTCTTGTATACCAGTGTTTTTGAACATCATCAGAATTTAACAAAGATTCAATTTTGTTTCAAGTACTAGCAGACTGTAAGGCCCAACTCCCACTCTTGAATAACATGCTTAAGAATATTGATGAGCTCAATTGTTGCAAACAGTCTGTGAAGTTTGTTCAGTGAGACTTCTTTCAGCAGCTTTAGGTTCAGAATTTGCAGTGTTCATTTGCATTTGTGTTGATTTTCAAATTACTTTGAAATAGATCTTTCAAAATCTGACTTGCCTTTTTGGTGAGACTATCCCATTTTAGTTAATGAGACTGCTTATTTAGTAAAGAGATCAAGAAGTTTGGCTTTCTCTTCTATCCTCATGGTGTAGTCTTCCATTGTGTTGTTGAATGGTCACAACAACCAAAGAACCAGCAGTTAGATCCTGTGAGTACATCCTCTTTTCATGCAAACCACCTTAAAACAATTTGAAATTGTCTGCGTAGCAAATATTTTACACCAGCTGAGAACTAGAACCTTTAATTCAAGCTTTCTGTAATAAATGTGGTCGCTAGAAGAATCAGTTTGACAGTCTTTAGGAAAAATCTTTTTGTAAGACCTTGTTCTCAAGAGATTTAAAACATTCCTACCTCCTATAAAAGTTTATTGTCCTGGCAACATTCTGTATCTCACCAGTTTTATTAGCTGTCACAACCTCGACCTCAGCTAGTCTCTACATCCATTTCCAAAAGAATTGCCTCTGTGTCCTTTGCTTCTAGTGACAAAATCAAAGGAGAGTTGTCTCAGGTATATTCATTTAGAGGATAAATGATACCTGCCAGCATACGTTAGCCAGTTTCCAAATAGCTCCATTTTAACAAGGGCTGTTAACTGTATACCAACAGCAAAAAAAAAAAGACAAATCAAAGCTACCCGTCATCACAGTCCTTCTCATCCAGCAGATCCTGCCTTCTGCAACTCTGCTTTTGTTTCCTAAATTCCTGTTAGTTTGCTTATATGTATCCAGAATAAGTTTATATTTATTTACTCATCTGAGCTAATTTCAGCTGTACAGATAAACAAAACTACCTCAACTAATGTCTAGTTTGAAAAAGCTTTGTTTAGAAACCTTTAATGAGTCTTTGGGTGAACATCCTCTGTGAAGTTATGATTAATGCTCTCCTGTTGGATGTATCTGTGCTTACAACAGTAATTCATATGATCTCTGGATACCAGGGAACTAACTGAAGTTAGTTTTTTCTTTGTGTTTTCCCTTTTACAAACAGCAAAATCATTGAACACCAATGCCAGCACTGGCATATGTACAACAGTCTGAAAACCATTCTTAAAGAGTAATATTTAGAGCATAAATACTATCTGTGTATTATCCCCCTGTCTGAACAAATTGAAAAAGACAGAAAAATGAACTGTAGCAGAATGTTTACCTACAGTATTTACTGTATTATTAAGGAAACTTACTGATGATCAAAGCTTCTGTCAAAAGTACCTGTTGTCACTGGGACGCCTTTATTGAAGCAGCAGTATTCAGCCTAGTCTTGTGATTTGAAAGGTATATTTGTCATCACTGATCAAAATGCTTTATCTGATGATATTTCTTTCAAGGGAATTGATCAAATTCTGAAAGTCATTCATTTTGTTCACTAGACGCACCTGCTTTTCCCTAGGTCCCGATTACAGTGTGACAAGCACAGCAGAAAACCAAATCAGCCCCACGTGCTGTGTCACTCAGCTTAGATAGCTGCATAGCACTCTGCCGTCTCTAACTAGCCTTGTTTCTTTTTGCAGCTGTATCTTCACCATCTTCATTTACAATGAAAACTAATACTCTGAGCACAACAGTGCCTAACTCTTATTACCCAGGTAACCAATTTTTTTTTCTTTGCTTCAACCCTGTGTAAACTTTTTCATTACAGAAGTGTGTGTAATTATGTTATTATACTCCTTACCATAGAAGTTTAATACATGTTCCATGTAACCAGTTGCTTACAGTAGCTTTCTGAAAGAAAACTCAGGAACGTTGATCAATCATTTTCTGTTCTCTCTCTTTTTACCTTTTCTGCATTGACCTGCTTATGATGTATGACAGATCCATTTGTGCCAACTGCAATTTTAGGTGAGAACATTTCCCTTTATCAAAGTTATTGCTGAAGTAATTTAGAAAGTCACAGACAATAGTATGCAAAAAGCTGTAGTTTTATGCTCGAGGGAGGGGTGGTAGGCTTGTCTACACTGTGAGTGCTAAAGACGGTTATCAGGCTTGATTTCTACTGTCACAGTGCAAGTCAGGGGAGAAAAAAGAGAATTTTAACGAGTGGATTTGTGAGGAAATGTTTATGCATGTATTTGGAGTGATACAAAAGAATTTGATTATCACAGCAATTGAAATAGTTTCCCTCATTTTTTTTCCTTTTTTTTTTCTTTCTCAGAACAAAAGATGTCACTTTTTAAAAACACCTTTTTTCCTAATTAGACTATTCACAATGTAGAAAATCAGGCAAAATAGGGTTTGGGCCATCCACCAGCTATCATTTCTTATCATAATGCCACGGTTTCTGACATGATTGTCAAAGTGAAGTTTCAGAGGAGAGCTGGTATTTTGAACAGCAAAATGATAACATGACACTTCAGTAATACAGTTTATTGTGCATCAGGTGTCACAGGAATAAAATACAATGGTAGATCTATAGTTTAAAAACATACAGTTAAAGTATACAGCATTTCCACAGGGAATTTGGGAAATCCTGTTGTTGTCCAATAGCAAAAAGAGAGCAGTTTCACACAGTAAGAAAATTATGAAGTGCCATTGCATTGTCAGTGCTGAAGAAACTGAAAGACAACACATTGTCTTGTATTTATTTACACTTTCTTCCTATAGTAACTTTAAACTAAACAGGGAGATATTTTAAAGTGATAAAACACGACAGGGCTCTGTAGCACGAGTTCAAATTCCACTGCCAAACCTCTCTACTCCTTTTACTACTACTGACGTTTTCACCACAAATATTTTTTCTTCTTCTTTTTCTTCAAATCACCATAAAAAATAAAAAATAAAGACCTCTTAACTGATTCCTTTCTTTAAAATTCAAGTAAAACAATCTTAAGTAGAATGAAGCACAGAGGAACTTTAAGTATAGGAATTTGGTCTTTGAAAGCTTGTTCTTGTAAAACAAGATTTAGCAAAGTGCATTTCAGTGTGTTAACTTTGAGAAGGAACCAGTGTGTTTTTATACATTATGCAAATTTGGGAGAAGGTAATGGTAGTGACTGTGACAATGTAATAATCTGCATGCAAATGAAATTTGCAGTGCCTTTTAACTGCCTGAAATGCTTAGATTTTTTTGTGTGTGCTTTAACATTCCCTCAACACTTCATCCAGTAGATGTTCTGACCTTGTGGGTGGGCAAGGAGAAAAGTGTTATCAGGAGAAAAACTTCGAGATTTGTTGTCTGAATTATTCCATCTTAGTTAAGTTTTCACTGGTTTCAGTTGGTTTTCTTTTTGTTTGCAATCCTTTGCAAAAAGTAATAGTAAAAATATTTCTTAGCTCTTTTTTTCCCATAAGAAATAATCTTTAAGTAAGCAGTTCAGATATCAGACAAACACACACTGGAAGAAAAATAAATTAAAAAATCTTTACTTATATAAGTCTTTAAAGTCTTGAATTAGTTCAGTACATATTTTATGGTCCAATACGGCAACATGTGATTTCTCATCTCAAAAAACCTTCCAGTTATTTCCATACAGATAATGAATATTTTTGTAACCTTACATGTTAGAATTATTATCAATGGTATCATATTCAAACAGGGTTTATTTCTCAAAAGGTGTTCATAGTTGTTTCTATAGGAATAATGTTTTACCTGAGTTAAATCAAATTAGCTGTGTTCAAATCAGTTGAAGATTACAGCTATTAACAAAAGTGCTGTGTTTCTGTTGCAACTACCACCTGCTCTTGTCACCTTTCAATGTTTGAAGAAGCTATTTTAGGCTGTAGGGTCAAGTGTGTAGTTAAAAGTGTGACCTCCTTGGTAGGTACAGGTATTGCAAATGGCTGAGCTCAGTTTTCTCAGTCAGAAACTCCTGCAGTGGCTGCAATACACTTACCATTTCCAAATTTCTGTATAGCACAATTTGGGGCCGATTCATGCATATTAGGAACTCCACCAAATAGAAAGAAAAAATTAATTAAAGCTGATGATGTACTCTTTAAATGGGCAACAGTCTTACTTCTCAGTTTCAGATATGAGGAAATTTTCATATATTTGAGGGAAAACTTTCATGCTTATTCTAATAACTGAAAAGAAAACTTGAGAGCTCAATTAAAGCTTTACATGACGGCCATTAAATTTACATGAGTGTAGGTCATGCTTGTCATGTTTCAGTTGTATGTATTACTGAAATTGGAGAAATAAAAGAGTGCTGCCCTGGAGAAGATAGCGCGCCGGGTTTGCAGATGCCTCCCATGCCATAAGGTCATATAAGTGGCAAGTTAACATATTCTTTAAGTGTTGTACAACTCCATGGGATTCAGTAAGTGGGAAGTAGAGTAACTGAAATTGTAGGAGATCTTAAACAAAAGGGACACACTTCTGTGAACATTTCATCTGGGAGAGCTCACCCTTCCAGAGAGTAGAAATGCTGAAAATCTTGTGCTAGAGTGCTCAAAGGCAAACCAAAAAACTGTAATATTTGTGGTTTCGTAATATGTCATATAAACCAAGGAATGTAAGTGCTTTTTTTAAAGCAACTTAATAGATTACTCCTGAAGAAAGAAAAATGAGATTAATGTAACTATAAGAAATAAAGAATGGAAAGAGGAAAATTAAAACAAAGGAGGTGGTAAAAAATAAACTAAAAAGGATGAAACTGCAGCTTTGATAGCACAAGAATCTGATGTCTGTTAACTTTGCATTCATCCCAGTTATTAGCAGTTTGGGTTACAAGGGCTTCCCTAATTTGGAGAGGAAAAAAAAATAATTAAAAAAAAAGCTAATTCTCTAACCTGCTTCTAAAATGGAAATAAGCCACCCAAAAACCATAATCCTACACTTTTTTTTTTGTCTTCTTTGTCTTAGCCACTTTGTAGTTTTCAGGTGCCATTTCAACAGCAACATATTGTACCTACACTTGTATACCACGTTTCATGCCATGCATCCCAAGGTGCTTTGCAGTACAGTTTTATCACACATTAGACAGAAGTTGTCAAATTCTCTCACTAAATGATGAGTCTGTTTTCTTCTAGATTGATTCAGGTTACTAAACCAGCATGTATAGTAGTGCACATACTCATGCCCATAAATTGTTCTCTGCTTGGTTTAGATTTAAATGCACCTTTCATATTGACTGTATGAGGACCAGATTTCATACATCTTGTTATCACTGTGAACTGACAAATCCTGAAATCATTCCTGAAATATGATTTTTTAGCATTAAAATCTATTTCCAGTGATATAAGTATGACCAGAATCTCACCTTTAATGAGATGTGAATGTATTTTTAGAATGTAAAAGAGAATCTGGGACCTTTTCATTCAGAAAAAATGAGTAGTTTTTGTCTATGGTGTATTTAACTTCTGAATGTGGCTGTATATTTTTAGTGCTTCCCTATCATTCATTGTATTTTACAAAAGATTTTTTTTTGTATATTTATAAATATATTCTATTTGTAAACCTCTTGCTGTAGTTACTGTGCAGCCAACAAGGAGTACTTTGGCCAAGTCAAAGCCGTACATCTATAATTGCAGTTAAAAATCAAGAACTCCTTGAGATACGTAAAATTATTATTTGGGTAGCAGTAAAATGTATTTTTAATGATATTTTGACCTCAGAATTTGGGTTGGTTTTTTTTTTCTTCTCAAGTCTTAACTAGTCTTAAGAACTTCCATCTAAATAGGAAGAAAATGACTTTGCTTCCTTAGTAGAGAGCACTTCCATATCTTTTATTTTTATTGCAAAGTATACATTTTGATCTCAGTTACATCCTTGTGAACTGACTCACAGTAAGATAGCTTTGTGTTACTGCAGTTGATTTATACAGTGGAACTGAGATCAGAATCTAACTTATTTAGGAAATCACTGTAAAGACTAAATTACAAACATAAAATTACCTGTAATTATTAATGTAGTATTGTTGCTTATGCCCTGTTTCCTTTTTCTCCTCCTCTTTTTTTCTCCTGATTTGTATCTTCTTAAAAGTGCCAATCAATGGTAAGTTGCCCATTTGCCCCATGGAAGAGATGTGGAGGGTTGGGAGAGTATGTGTTTCATCCAAATTTTAACCAGCCCACTGGGTTCTCCTGTTTGTTGGCTTGCATGTCAGTTGACACATAACATTTCATGCCTAATGTGATGGCTCATGATATACCGTGGTCCTAAAGCATGTTCAGCAGCCAGTCAAGACATTTTTCCTGATCAGATGATCCTCTGCATTTGTCCTCTTATAGTTTGTCTCCAAATGTTGTATCAGATCTACATTTCCATTGCAGTCCTAGCTTAATGAATCCATAAGCCATTTTGTGCATCCTTTTATTTTGCTCACTCCAAACATTTGCTCTAAATTTGCAGTATAAAATATTACAGTTAACTAATCTAAGAAGTGTACAAGTCCTGTTTTATTCTATAGGACTTGTTGAAGTTTCAGAATGAAACTTCTATGCAACTTAGAACCAAATGCTTAATTTAAAACTCGTTGATAATCAGCCAGTGTTATTTAAAGCAATATTATAGTTCGGACTGCTCTGCAATGCTTCCATTGTAGAACCATGGAATTTGCCTCATTCCAATCAGTCTTGCAATTTCCCTGTGTAAACTGCTCCATGAATTTACTGTTCTTCTGGCACATAGCCTTCACAGACAGAAGCAATGTTGATGATGTCAGATTTCTGCCATTCCTCTAGAAATCTGTGTGATTTGTATTTTTGTTTATAAGTAAAAATGAGCCAGTACATAATGAGATACTCTTTTCCTAGATGAAACCCATACGATGGTCAGTGACACAAGCAGCCTGGTTCAATCCCATACCTACAAGAAACGGGATCCAGCAGATGTGCCCTACCAGACCGGACAGCTTCATCCAGCCATCCGTGTAGCTGACTTACTGCAGCACATCACCCAAATGAAGTGTGCAGAAGGCTATGGATTTAAAGAAGAGTATGAAGTAAGTATCTGATCTAATGATTTGATTATTATGTTTTCTGCCCTGTTGGCTTTATCTGTCTGCTACTTGTACCACAGAATGGGAGAAATAATTACTCAACCCAGTAAGCCAAGTGCTGTGTCACAGGAGGTACTGAATGGAAAGGATCACCTCCACAGTAAGCAAAGTTTCTGGTGGTAACAAGGCAGGATGAAGAGTGAGAAGCAAAACCTTTCTTGGAAATCTCTGCCTAATTCTAATTGCAGAAATATGTATATTGAAAAAGCAGCTTCACTAGCATTCTCCTGGAAATTACACTATTTTTCTTTTACTACTGTCTAATCAGACTTGTCCTGTAACATGATATTACTTGTGAAATCAAGCTCTACAAGCAGTATTTTTCACATTAATTGTGAGAGACATTAATCATTGCAAGGGTGTGCTCACATGTTCAGAGAGGTCCATAAGGCTATAAAATGTATTCTCTGCTGTCTCAAATTTTTCTTGCTTTCTGGAGGCTACCTCTAATACTCACTGTTTTTCATATGAACTTGCAGTATCTATTTTTGCTGTTTGGCTTTTTTTTTCATTCAGCTTCTGTTTCTTCTTTTCATGCTACAGTGACCTGTTCCTTGCTGTTATCCTCTTAGTGTTAAAAGTCATGACCACTATGCCCTGGCAAAGAATAGAGGAATGCAAAATCATGACTGCAGATCTTATCTTACTTGTGAGATAAGTCTGTCCTTCTACCTAGAAAAAAAAAAAAAAAAAGCAAAACACAGGCAGACCTTGCTCTCATGCCCAAAACTATGGGTAATAGTATATCTTCCTTTGAAAATCTGTTTATGCTGTAGAGCCTCAAGGAACATATTGCTCCTCATCCAAATCATATAGCTGAGTCAACGGCAACATCTCAGTCTGGGTTGGCTGTCTAACATGAGACCCTTTGAAATCTGATAGTTCCAATATTTTAATATCTAGAACATACTGATGGTTTTTTTTTCCTCTTTTTCCTCTTTTCTTTGTCTTTTAGCTCAGAGTTTAAGGAGTTTATTAATGTAGATGGGTCTCGCAAGGTATTATGGGATGGTTTCAGCAAGTGGAGTTTCCCAGAGCAGATTTTAATCCAAAAAACAAGTAGCGTAAAAATATTACTTCACAAAGGAAAAATACATAAGATTGACCCACAGGACTGGACTACAGATTGTCAAAATTGTCATAGGGGTGTGTGAGAATTTGTGAAATAATTTTTCACTGCTGAGGTAGGAAGATACACTGCATAAAAATTTGTGGAGTCTGATATGTGGCATATTTGAAGCTATCAACTCAAAACACTCTAATTCTTTATATGGACATGGACTGTGATCTAAAATATTGTGCACAGACTAAAAAATAATTGTTCCCTGTTGTGTGGTCTAGGAAACAAAAATGATCAGCAGCAGCCCACCCTCCTGTTCCCAGGGGCAAGTTATTCTTGACAGAGACTATATCTACTTCAATGTGTAGCAGTGTCCATCTAATGCAGGGCCCTATCCAAATTGCACTGCACCTCCAACGGAGTATACAGTCCTAAATTTCCTTTCCTTGGAAACTGAGATGTGAGAAATCAGAGGAACAGTTGTTCTGGTGTGATGTTATTCCAGTGTAGCCAGTAAGAAGGATAGTAATCCAAATGCTTCTCAAAATAGAAGCCAGCAAAAAAAGATTCCTTCTCATTCTTTAATTTGATAGGAAGAAGAAGGGATGACAACCAGCAAAAAACCATTTAAATTGCTTCCACCCTGTAGGGCAAGCAACAGTTTATCTTTTGGTCATGCATGGGTGTGTTCTGCTCTAGGGGCTCAATGTATCGTGCTTAAGTTTTGAAGGTAGGATCCCATGTATTTGCTGTTGCAGGTCCTTCACTACAAAGACATTACTTGTTTATATAATACCTTGCTTAGTTTCTACTAGCCTGCTTTTTGCAAGAAATAGTGTTTTTGGGGCGTTTGTTGTGCTTTGTCATGACAGCTGTATGATATAAAAATTGCTTAAATATGTAACTGTTTAAACTGGTGTTTGTAGCGTTATACTTTCAAAGCAAGCCCATGCTTCAGGCCCTTTCCAAAGTCAACGACGACAATTTTTTTTTCCTTCAAATGTAGAAAACAATTAATTCCCAGAAGGAGCTAATCACTTGTCAGCTTTCATTTGTGCAGCTGACTTAAGCAAGTTTGTTCCTTTGAGCTTTTTATGACACTGTTATTTTAAAATGATAGAATTTTATTCTTGTCTGTGGAAAAGATTTGCTCATCAGCCAGAACCCTTTGTACCAGCATTAAGCCTAGAGGAAAGCTACAATTAATTTATATTAAAAAAAGAAGACTGTAAAATGGAATTTATAATGCAACCAACGACATGGCTTTTTAACTACAGCAGATCAAACGATACTACAGAGAAACAGTTTCCAGGAAAATCACTTAATTTTAAGCTTACCAAGCTGAGGAATGGCATCCCATTACAGGCAATAGGTGTAGTCATGACTAATGACAGTAGATGCAATACATTTGGTTGCAGCGTATAAGTAAAGGGAGACTTAAGATATTGCTGCATTGTATAGGTAATTTTCTATAACCAGAGTGAACTACAACAAACTATATATTTCAAGGTTTTTTTCCACTGACCTACGGCAGTATTGCTTTTTTTTTGTCCATGTGCATTGAAAAAAATGCTCAATCTGTCATAGCACTGCTAAGATTGAGAATCAATTTGTTTATGCTATTGTCAAACTGATACTGTCCTCTTTACGAGGTTGACCTAGGCAATGGAAGAACTTTTTTCCTTGTAAGTTATCAGAAGGATAACCATCCAAATGAAAAGAAAGAAATGGTTTGACAGGGGATTTGTTTTGAATGAAGTCTCATACATGATTTTTGCTCTAACAAGACAGTAGGATTATATATTCTCAGCAGGGAAAGCGTTTGGTTCAGGAGGAATTCACACAGGATTCTCTCTGAAAATAAATCTGTTGAAGTGAACAGAAAGTGAAGTAGCACATTACCCATTAGCGGCACTTCAGAGGAGTAAAAGGATACGGTGCACTCGCTGTCATGCATAGTTATAAGTGCTTTAAAATAAAATTTCATAATTAGGAACACAGTATACAATAATTGGGACAGTAGTTCACAATCCAAGTAATTTTAAGTCCTGTTGGCTTCACATGAGAGTTTTTGGAGTAACATAACTGACGCAAAGGATAAAGGTTGAAAAATCATCTTTTGCAATGGCAGGCTGGTGCTTGATTGCTCCCTGCTCCACTCTGTGGTGCAGTGGCCCACTCGAGAAGCTGAGTACCCTCAGGTCCCATGTATAGGGCCTTGAGAGGGCACGGCACTTGGCAGGATTGTGCCCTTCTGTGTGGTGAAGAGATACTTTGGTTCTCAATGCTGGCAAGGTTTTGCTGGAATATTAGTAGGGAAGCATCCTGGCTCTGCTCCTGATGGTGGCATGTGTGAGGATTCCTGTTCCCTAGGGCAGAATCTGGCCCCAAGTTTTGCAGCCGTGTGGCTTTGGATCTAGTGTCTAGCTGTGTCTGCAGAGCAGCAGCAAAGACAGGCATGTCCTCAGCAGTGCGTCAGTAGCAAGTTCATGCCCATTTAGCCATGTGTTTCTCAGGTGTGGAAATAGCATGGGCACATTACTGTAAGCTGAGGACTCAAACACAGACCTTCATTTACGGCCTGGTGGAATGTTAATGTTTGGAAAGGATTGCACAGAAATACTTAAACTCTGGGAAATTTCCACACAGCTAGTCTTCAGTAGAGCTTTAAAATCCTTTCTATCCCCTGCCAGACCCTTAAGAAAGGAAAGGTTTTGGCTTGGTTCCAGCAGCGTTAGATTGACAGAATAACATTGGCCTGATTACAAAACACCCTCACCTCCCCCACTAACCGTGCATTATTTTAGCTGCTCCCCGCTTCTGAAGCATGAGAGCTTGCACTAATGATGGAGAAGGAACATTGCTTATCTCCTTTCTGCATTACAGAAGCTATTCAAATAGGATAGAAGGATTAAAGTAGTCTCTATATTTCACCACCTTTTTTCCTTATACTTGCCACCTTTTCAGACTTCCTAGTTTCACAGGGCCTTACACTGTGCCTTTTCACAAAGATCAATATCTGTTAAAAGGTCTTAAACACGCTGCTGCAAAGGAGTGAGTTCATGTCCTTCCTAGGAAGGAGATGGAGTAGGCTTCTCTAGGCCAGCACAGCTTAGCACAGCTAGGATGGAAATGGAAAAATTTATTAAGGTTATTGTTTTCATTAAGATTTATTTTAGATTCCATTTTTGGTTCTTTCAGTCAACAAAACATTTTACCTGTTCAGTGTGAATTGTTTCTTTGCCAAATAAACCTCTGTTGATATAAGACAGTCTCAAATAGATTTCAGAGTGTCTACATAAGAGCTTGGACTGGTTTAGTCGAATTGATTTAAAAACACACTTTTAATTAAACTGGTGCAACATGGTGTAGATAAAGCCTTGCAAAATCAATTCCATGTTATGTTCCATGACAGGGACTTCTGAGCTTCCATTATCTCAGAAACAGAGGTTCCTTTGAAAAGCCAGGGTTTGCAGAGGGTATCCTTCTCAGATCAGCCTCATTTACTGTCACTAACAGCACTGTCAGAAACAGGCTTTTAAAAAGGTTTCTCTGTATAGCGTTAACTTTAAAGCCTTTCCCTCTGCTGTGTCTCTCTCCTTCCTTCTCCTCCCTTCCTGAAATGCATTCCCTTTCTCAAGGCTTTGTGGCAGTTCAGCTGTTTCACTCAGGAAGCAATTTTAAACTAGTGTCATTAAAGCCATGCTGCTCCTAATATGAAGGAGTTACATGCTGTCAAGACACACTGTACCGATTATGCTGCTTTTATGCTGCGTGGTCTCCATCCACTCTGAGGGGTTGCACCAATGTATCTATATTAATCTCTAAATCACTGCACTTAGACAGACAGATACTGATGTGAATACAGGCACAGAGGGCCTTT